GTGCAGATACATCTAATGATTTTCAGGAAAATGAATAATCAATAAAATTGCGAAAATTAAGATAGTGAGTGAATAAGCAATCAAAGACGCAGAGTTTATCAATTTTTTTCGTTTTTGGGTTTTACGTTCTATCCGTTCCACAAATTTTGCTTATTTCCCTTCTATTTATTCTAATATCAAATCAGTTCGATCTTTCCTAGTTTCAGGAATTCAAATAACTGTTTATTTTGCATTTCTCCGATTGTTGTTGAGAATTCTTGTTTGAAAGGGAGTTTGAGGAGGAAGAACGCAGAATAACCAAGACAGTAGAATAAAATAATTTCATAAGCAAAAATAGAGTAACAGGGTAAATAACTAACAAACTTTTCGATCACCTTTGAAATTTAGCGCTGTAACCTAGTTTAAAATGCCAAAATCCTTCCACTATCGATGTTCCATTGCGATCGACGATGTTTTTAGCTGATCGCTGTTGATCCGCTTATCGAAAGAGTTTCAGCCGGGTGTGTTTTTGTCTAAGTACCATTCTGCATAAACCCCACTCGGTTATGCACCATCGCACCGTCCGCGACGGGGACAAGTCATCAACTGGCCCGTTCGCCCAGCATAAAACACACTTTTCAACGTTTATATCTATCATCACTCGCTCACCCTTCATTGCCCCTTTTGCCCCTTCAGAGTTGTCGTTTTAATTCACATTTGGCCACGCTTTATGGATGGGGCTGGACGCTGCTGTCAACTCTGGGGCCTCAGCCACCATTGCAAAGCCCTTGTTTGTCAATGTTGACGTCTTTGAAGTTAATGCGCTCCTTTGAGAATTTGCCGTTCCAGAAGGCGCTTGTCACATATAATCGGACGTATCTTTGGGTTCTTTTTGATAAAAAAAGATTGTCGCACATTTTATAGTGTTTTGTTTCCTGTTAGAGCTATAGAGGATCTTTGCCGCAATAATTTATAAATCAGATCGAGACTACCAGGAAACATAGCTTTATCGTATTTTGATTTGTATTTTGTAATTTTCATGACAATAAAAACAATCCTGTCGAAAGCATAGAAAATATTAACCACTTATATATCTGTCACTCTCACAAGACGGCCAAAAAACCCAAAAATATAGATCATAAATATATTTTTATCCCCGTTACGTGCATGAAAGTTATTTGGAACAATAGTTTCTAAAAATTTATCTTTGATGCATACCTGCTCATACTTTTTTATACATTGCTTTGTTCAGAAATCTCATAGAATTTTGTATTTTATTTGTGGTTTATTCTTATTCCTTTGAGTTCTATAAAACTTTGGAACCCGCCAGCATAGCAGCTTCTGTTTGACAAAATCTGCTTTGGAACATCAAACGGGGCTTAGTCAAATGGTTTCAAAAAATTTAAGCTGATTTTATTACAAAGATTAGTTCAAATTTTTTCTCTTCATCTAAACAAATTTCATTCAGGTAACGAATCCACATTTCGTATCCGGCGTGTTACTTCCTATTTTTGATCTCGTTGTGGAGCAATCGGAAGGTTTTCGGTTGCGCATCATTAATCTAAGCAGTGTGAAACGGGAAAAATGTGTAAACGTCTTTCTATCAAAATATTTATGAAATTCTCATTTAGCTGGGCATATTATCGCGTTTACCAAAAATAAAAGCAATACATAACTAAAATAAGTGAAATGAAACAGGAATAATTCTGCATTAATAGATAGACTTTTACTAACACTTTTATTTTTGCAGCTCACAAGGCCACTTTAGGTAATTTTTTCCTTTTCTTGTCTGCTTAGAATTCTTTACCTTTATTTATTCTAATCATATTTTATGTATTTTTATTCTTTTAATTTTACATATTTTAATTCTTTTTTTTTTGTATTTTTATGTTATTTTTTTGCAACTGCAGTCTTCTTTACTTTCATTCACTTTCATAATTATTCATAAGACTGATTGCATATAATTATTATTTTACTTTATGTGATTAATTAGAAGGCTATTTTAATTGTAATTTTTTTGTGATTACTTTAGATTCCCGATTATATCCACATAATTATTTTTGAACAACCATGTCGACTCTTCTCTTGGAACGATAAGAGCAAAATTTGAGTACGTAACAAACCTGTTCTAGCATGCCTTAGAAACATCTTGGAAAAGTTTTTTCCCAGTTATAGATTTGTCAAATTCTGTGACAGAAAGTCTTCATTTCCAACCAAAGAGAAGCGCATAGGACTGGGAAATGTCAGATTTGATTTGTTGCACTAGAGGGGCAGGATCGGGATTGTGGCAATTTTCGTTTGGTGCTGGGCAAATTTTGTAGGGGAAATGAAGGACATTATCCTGGGAAGAGCGTAAGAAGAAGTATATGCTTAAAATCATCGATAGGTGAAATGTGCAAAAAAATTGAAAAATAATACACACAATTTTTCTTATCTTCAATTTGTATTTTTATTAATTTTTCATTTTTCGTTCTTGCACATTCTACAAAACATTCACATAGCATTTTCATCATTTCTTTACCATTAATAGACTATATCACGTTGGAGGGGAATAGAAGTCTGGGGGGGGGGAGGTCCAAAACTTTGATTTTGGTCGATGGTTTCTTGTGTCACAATGGATTATAGTTTTTCCATTTTTACCATGTTATTCTGTAGTTACAGACTGTCCTTCTCGCATTATCACCGAGCACTGTAGAATAATCCTCACCCCCCTCCCCCTTCCTCGTTGCCTCTTTGCGCACTCAAAAAAAAAACACTTTTTCCTTCCTTACTTTGGTCGTTTGCTCCCTCTTCTTTGAAATTAAATCACATTAAGAGCCCCCCCCCCCTTCTTCCCATTCCTATGTCTCAGCCAATAGATCAGAAAAATCCCACATCTCTTTGCCCACTTTGTCTATTTGTTTTGGTATGTTTGTCTTCTTGCATGTAGACATCATCTCGCAAATCTAATAGAAAATGTCGGATTGAGTGGTACTCAATTTTTGTTAAGTGGATCGATGTTATTCGATTGTCGCCAGAATCACATGGAGATTAAAAAAACTGAAGCAACCATCATTTGCGGTCAAAAAGCTCGGTATTCCGAGAAATAAATCGAAAACCAGATTTACTGCATAAGTGTTCCTCTTCTTAACTACGCAATGCAAATCGAGGCAAATCTCATCCAACTAGTTTTGAAACCATTCAGAGGGGTGATGCTATCCAAAAGTGACTTCGTAGTCACTCAGATTCGAAACTTCCGCAGGACAAGTAAAATTTGCAGCGGTTCCGCAGGATTTTTCATATTGCAAAGGCGGGAACGTTGAAAATCGGAGCTTCCGCAGGATTTTTACGTTAGACTGGTTGAAAACGGGAACTTCCGCAGGACTTTTTACAAAGCGCTGAGGAACTTCCAAAATGTGCCAGCGGTTCCGCAGCACTTTGGCCTGCTAGTACTTCCGCAGGATTTTGAATGTGTTATCTCTTACGATGTTTTTTCGTCAACAACTAGAGTGCATTGTCAAACCTGTCATCTTTAGTGCAGAGGATAGTGAGTGGGTTTCGCAGTCAATAAAGGTTAAAATTCCTCTTAAGGGTTTTCCCTTGCTGTGGTGGTTCATTTTTTTTCGGAACTTCCGCAGATGACCCGGTGGAACTTTCCCCAAGGTTCTGCGGAAATTCCGGTCAGTTGTTCGAGCAAGAAATGTTATCTCTGAAAAGTACAGATAACAAGAAATTATGGTAGACTTTTTGTCACACAAAGAATGTTACAATATCTTCAGTGATCTATTAGTCTACTCCTCAGTTTCAAAGTCATATCGCTCATTTTGAACCTCATCTTTGAACCCATAATCGGGGCTCAGAATTGGAAATTCTATAAAATTGTAGTTGCAGGGTACAATTGAGACATTCACGACAGTACGACCCACCGATGGGTCGTATGCTTTCTGGAGGTTTTGATTTTGCTAGTTTACGATGGAACTTTCTGTTCAAATTGAATGAAGTTCTGTGTATACATCTCTTGGAATAATTTCCAAAAAATTAACGCTTCAGACTACATGACCCATCAGTGACCAAAAAATGTTACGCAAACTTATTATTGCGAAATATGCTCTGGTCCGAAGTGGCAGTTATCGAGAGATCGGCTTCATCGTGAATGTGTTGAAGAGTACCTGGTAAAAAATTGTTGAAATGCTTCTAGTTGACAATTTCTCCAAATGATTTCTTTTTCCAGTTCAAAATACTGAGATGCAAACTTCCTTTTTTCTCTTCCTCTTGTTCCACTCTAATTCCAGTTTGATTTTTTCAACAAAGTATAATTGACATAGAACTTCTTTGTTTGCTCATTCTATTCATTCACAACATACTAATACACAATGCTGGTTCCAGGTTTTTTGTAAAGAAGGAGGACAGTGTTTTTCTTTCAGAAGGGCCTAAAAGTTTGCTCGTAATGTTTCGTGATTTCTTGGCTAGCTGTTAACACTAAAATTCTCTCAACAAAATTTGTCGCAGAGCTAAGTTCATGAAAATCTTAGGAAATCTTTTTATCATATCCACGAATTTTGTTACATGCATAATTTTGATAGATTACCTTAGAAATTCGCATTTCGAGGAGGGGTACCCCTTCGTTCGCTTTGACATTTTTAACTTTTGACCATATTCATCCAAAAGCAAGTAAAATAAGCACCTTAAGCACCACAAATCAGCGATAAATAATGTTTACATTTTAGATTACTGAACACATTGATGGGCAAACTTTACCCGACTAAATATGATTCGCTTCTGGTTGTTATAAATGCACGTTCTCTCAAGTGAGAAGAATGATTTTTGTCTTTGCCTCTTTTCCATTTTCGTTGTGTTTTTCAATATTCGGCCAATTTCTAACTATTTCCTTATATAAAGCTCTGTCGATCAGCCATTAGACTCGTCTGCACCCTTCAACTTCCCTCCTAATTCGAATTACCCCTTTTGTTATTTTGGTTACCGCTGTCTAAGCGCCCTATAATGATGTCAACTTTCCAATTTCTGAAGTGTTCCGTTTTCAGATGAGATGGTGGTCCCAACAATACCGTTACGATGTTCGGAATGTGGCAAAGAGGTGACGTCAACGATCAATAAATCGATATCGGTCGATAATCACTTACGCGAATCGACGGCACGGAAATTCGACACGAATGGCGACAACAGCGGTGTGGTCGAGTTTTGGTGGTGTCGTGACTGTGCGCAAGGTGTTTGCAAGTGAGTCATATCTCATTTTTCGAAAATCGATAATCAGTAAATGGGCGGAGTCCGTCATTTGTGGGCGGGACAGACAGCAATACGCAGGCGCGCTATTCAAAATCTTTTTCGATGATAAGATGGCCTTTGATTCAACGGGATTGGCGGCTGGAAGAAGGCCGCTCGCGTCCGTGACGCAGTCTGCGTTTCCCTTTCGAGCGTGCTCTCTGATCATTCTCCAACCTTGATTATGTCTTTAAGCACCGCCTTCCAGCCGCCAATCTCGTTGATTTAAAGGGTAAGCAATATATCACAATGTAAAGCGGATACTTATGAAAAGATTTGCTAATATGGTAATCACTGAGAGGGCGGAGTCCGTGCTTTGTGGGCGGGAGTGAAAGGAATGTGCGGCGCGATATCAAAATTTTTTGGACGATAAGACATAAGCACTATTTCACAATGTGAAACAAATATCTTCAAAATCTCGCGAAAATGTGATAAGTGGGCGGAGTCGGCTATCTGTGGGCGGGACAGCAATATGCTGCGCAATATTAAAATCTGATTTTCGGCGATGATAAATGTGAGCTTTGTCGTTTTGAGCAAAGGATAAGGCTAATATTTATAAAATAATAATTTGCAAATAGCTGCAGAAAGAGCTGCATTGCAAAAATAATGAATTTGCAAAATCCTGTGATAAAGACTATTCCGCAAAGAGGTGGGCGTGGACAAATGCAAACTGCGGCGCACTTTTCATTCTTGCCTAAATCTTTCGTTTTAATGTGATACACTTTAGAGAATATTTATACAGGCATATTCACAAAGAGAAAAAATCAAAAAAAGAAAAAATTTATAAAATCTAAGTGACATCAAAGGCTGACAATCGAATGTGATGCATCTAAAAATTTCTACAGTTGGCACTTTGCCTGCAGTCAGTAGTGATGATGAGGGAATGTACTTGGAGAAGAATACAGTTTGAATGGTTTAATAAAAAAACGCGTAATTTGCGTTTACACCGTAATTGCGGACCTGTCATCAGTAAACATGTATTTACATGCCTAAGGTAGTCTAGCTTATACACTACCTAAACGGTTGTTATTCTTTTGACATGATGTACATGTATAGTCAAGAAATTGTATGTTTCACCTCTAGTAACGTATGAGGTCCGCAATTACGGCTTAAAGACCAAACAAACAAAGTCGATATGAATCAAATTTAATTGTGACCATGTCAGAAAAAGTGAGCAATAACGAAGGACTAGAAATTCAAGTAGATATAAGACACGCTTTGCCGCATTAATTAATTATGATACATTTTTGAGGCCATCATTATACAAGACGTCCAGTAAATGACATTGAATGCGAGAAAGCCGAGCGGTACGTAGAATCGTGCATAGAAATCGATTTTTGCCGGTAGATAGTCAGGTTTAGTGAAGTAGCGCCGTATACGGTCTCGTAACGATGGTCGCATTTCGCGATACTGTAAATAAGGGTTCAAAAATGGTTTTTTGTCATTAAATAGCTCATGGAGTCGAGATATCAAAATGGATAGTGAAAAAATATGTTACGATCCAAAACCAGCAAAGAACGCCACTTCAAACAGTCCCGGTAAAAGTTTACCCTACCTGGGTAAACGTTTACCCAACCTTGATTAACTTTTACTTGAGCGGGTAAAGTGTGGTTATCTATCGAAAAAGGTAAAATAACTTTTCTGATGCTAATAGAAGCTTTTTTAATTGAATTAACTTTGTAAAGCGGTCAAAAAGCTTACCAAATGACAAGTACAAGGTGGTTGATATGCGTCCACGGGTAGATCCAATTTGGCTCGACGTTTCTGAGCCTTTCGTGTCGCGTTACTTTTTGCCTGCTCTTCCTTCCTCGATGTGTCCTTGTAGGAAACGAACGCATATTCCAATAACGCGCCAAATACGAACGTTTGACATGCTAAATGGGAGGGTTAAATTGCATTTTGGGCAATTTAGAAGGAAAACTCAAAAACTCACCTCCTAACCATACATCCACTACTTTTACATAGCTTACTGGAGGTAATTTTGCATTGATGGCAGCTTGCTGGAAACAAAAAAGAATATCTCGATGGCTACAGTAATCCTACAGTAATCTCACCATTGTTGTCATAGTAAGAAGCGTGGTAACACCAAGTGCAACTCGTCCAGCTGTTGAATGCATATCGATCCAGAATGAAACCCATGATACTATCACTATCATTGTTGTGGGACCATAGAGTTGAACTAGGTAATAGCTAAAATTTGAAACACGTTGGATTCAGGATTGGGTAAAGAAAAGCAGAAAAACAGAGTAAGATCCTCTGCGTCTCTGAAGTTTTCAACTTTACCTAAATTGTCGTTTTAAGATGAGTTTCATCCTTAGGCATGCATAGGACCCTGTAAAAAATTATTTATTATCAAGGATACTTTGGCTTGTTCGCTATATTTGCGTTCTTGTTACCTGCTAATTTTAGCTAGACAAATAAATTGGCAATTATATTGTACCCAATTAGGATCTAAGTGTAGCTCAAAGGTTTTTATCCAGCTAAAGTTCATCCAAAGAACAATAGCCGCAAGCCAAATGAACTTTCTAGGCAATTAGGCACGAAAGAACATTCTAGCAAGTGAATTAGCAGACTTCTAATAAAGTTTCATAAAAGTACAGCACCAATTTTCGGCACAAACTCCGCCCACCTGTATTCGTATGACTCGTGCAATCATCGTTCGTAGTAATATTTTGAAGTTGAAAATTTGGTAAATCACCACCGACACCCGGTTTAAGCTGCACTGGTGAAGCGTCCCACTCGTAAACAATGTCCTAGAAAACACACATCTGAGTACGCGGCGGGCGGTGATTACGGTAATTATCGCGTTGAGAGTAGCTCACCTTCATCGTGTGAGCATAGCTGACTAGGTCAAAATCACAGAATTGTAAATCAAAGGGATAGAGTTGAAGTTGCATATGGCAGGAACTGGTGATACTTATTCTACTACTGTACAAAACCTAAATAATAGTGGCGGATTACGGTAGCTGTACGGTAGCTGTAATAAATAACTCTGGCTTACTTTTCCATCTGGATGTATCCTAAGAAACATGTTGTCGGTATCGATAAGATGCCGATGAGCTGCTTTTTCGGTCTGAAATCGAACTTGATAAATACGAACCATAAAGAAGTTAGTTGTTGGGTCCCACCGGGAAGAAGGTATCCGGAATCCATAGGTTATTTTTGATATGCGGTACGGTGAGGAACTTTGGCGCATTACGGTAGCCGAGTAAAGAGTACGCAAGCCGTGAATCAATCCATTGTTCTCGGAATGTCAGCTGCATACTGTATTCCTAGAGTGAGAATCAATAAATCAATAACATGATTTAGCCTTTACGTGACCATAACCTTACCATATTCACAACGTCAATCTTTGACAACATCCTTATCATGATGTTTACCTTCACTATCACAGGCCCATGAGGATCTAAAAGTGTGCATAGGTGAATTTTTGAGTAGTGTGGATTGTACGTAATCACGTACCAGAGTAGTTGGTTGGCGGCGGACGCACGCGCATGTCATAGTTCCGCAAAAGTTCGTTGAGAATCTCCTGTTCTTGCGTACCACTCGACCGCCGTGAAACATGAGATCCGATGCTGACGCCTGCTAACACAGCAAACAGCAACAAGAGCATGCTTCTCATATCATTCTGAAATAGGAAAATTCTGAAACTTTTCGAAAAATTCTAAAACTTCAGAGAAGATTTGGCGAAAAGAACGCAGCTTATGAGGCGTTTTGTCGGATTTAAAGTGACTAGTTTGCATTTTTTTGCACCTCGATTATGTTCAAGTGGAAAATCATTTGAGGCGAGAACGAATTCTGTGGGTGTTTCCGCATTTGCGGATGCAGAGTCGCCTTTTAGAGACAAGAGCGTAATAGGAAATGACAGGAGAGGTAACACACGTCGGAATTCGAAGCGAAAAGAGAAGAGAGGGCGGTCGCTGACTTCATCTTCGTTTTTTGTTCGCACGTCTAATCCTAGTGTTTTATGTTCATGTGCTCCTTAAATACGCGCTTGCAGAACGTCAGACTAATCCTAGCGGAATTTTCCAGAAACTTCTGCTATAAGCGACTTTTTCGGAACTATTCTAGATTTTCATAGTTTGGAAATTGGCGATTATACGCTTTTCTCCACACTGATTCTAGCTTCCCTTCTTGCCAGATCAATATGGCCCCGCAGAGAAAATCATGAAAGAAAGGTGCATGTAGAAGAACCTCTCAAGAACTGAATTATGAACAAGTGCGTGACGAATTTCTAAGTTTTCATGTCGCTTCTACCCCCTTTACACAAGTTTTTGGGGCAACATGCTATGCGACGCAGGATATCTATTATTTAGTAACTCGTAAATGAGATGCTAATTCCTGCTATGCGAGTTTCAAGCACACTATGTGTCCAAGATATTAGAATGGAAATCCGTAGATGCAGGATAGGGCTGATTGTATGCGCTCATGAATTAGTGATGCTAATGTTTATTCAACAGATTAGGAGATTTGACCATGATGTCATTGTGAAAAGTAGTTTATCCGAAGGTTTGAGTTCCTAGAGTGCTTAGAGCAGATGATGTCGGTTGCTCGCCAAGATCTGCGGCAAATCGACAATGCTCACTCTACCTGATGGTAGTCTATTAGTCTAGAAATATCCGCTCAAATAGCTCGTAAGCTTTGGACTAGAATAAACACCTTAGGAGTATGTAGCAGAGTAAATGGAGGCCATATGTGGACAATGGGTTGTTTACCGGTAGGATGGAATCAATCACGACAACGTTTTTTGTGGACAAACGAGCACACACAGGAAACGTCTCGCGAGGTAAACGCGAACAACACACACGACAGTGCGGTTTCTATGGTTGTCAGAATGTGAGGTGACGTCAAGCATAAAGCGAAACGGAAAAGCTGGAAAAAACTCTTGAGAGAAGGAGCGAGCTGACCGACGGCCAGCTCCAAAAACGCCGGCAGCAGCGCCGGAGCCACGGCCGCGCGGCAGCCGTGACGGCCGACGGTGAGCGGGAGCTGTGCTGGAAGCGGCGATAATTTTCCTTATCCACTGCACTGGGGGTGCGCAATGCAGAGAACGAGCGGCGAAAAGTGCGGCTCCTCACGGCGCGCGCGTGATTCGTCGATTCGCCGCAAAAAACAACACAATGAGACAAAGCTTAGTCGACAGTTAATCAAATAATGTCCACTTTGGAGCGGTAGTTCTCTTGGCCAAAGACGTCAAGCTAAACGAGCAAGGAGCATGAGCACTATACAACCGCAGCGGCTGCCGATTCTGTCTCTGCCGTGTCACCACGAAGCGCTTTAATTACTGCCGTGATGCAGCGCTGTTCAAATCGCCCCCTACTCGAATGTTCTCAACCATCAGCAGTTTCGTCGTTGTGCGGTGCTTGGGATGAGAGCAGAGCGCTCATCGAGTGCGTAGAGCAGATGATGTCGTTCGCTTGCCAAGATTTGCGGCAAAAAGCGACAATGCTTATTCGAATGATGGTAGTCTATTAGTCTAAAAACGTTCGACATATGGGTAGTTTTCATAAAAATATGCCCTGGAGTAGCACTTATGACTGTTGTTGCACTTTAATACATTCAAGCTGTTGATTTCGATCATCAGAACAACAAACGTCTTAAATGTTCCGGAAGTGTGATATTGGGTTAATCCAGATCGGACATGGATTAGTTCGGATGCGAAGTCAATGCTTCACTTTTTGAGTGCCTTTACATATCATGTTAGTGCAGAAAGGTTGTCCAGGATCTTAGGAAAGATTGTAAGGGCACTCAATAAGTGCAGCATTGACTTCGCATCTGTGCTTGTAAGGCGCCTAATCTCACCTAGCCTACTAATGACTCAATACTCATGTAAGGGATGTAAACATACTGAACGCATAGGTATTAGATGGGGTAAACCACCGAATTCAGGCAAGTGTGCGGTGAAATCTGATGTAACTGCTGGCTACATAATGACTTAGAATGGAGGTGTGATAATTTTTGGACACGCGCTCATTTTTATGAAGGTATAAAAAAGCACTGAGCAACGTTCACTAGAATGAATTATTACGCAAACCTCTTTTATTTTGCACGCTGACGCGTTCAGGCATTACACCTGCCAGTGATACTCATTAGCAGGTGGTAGTCTATTAGTCTAATAGTCTGGATTCCCTGATGGTAGTCTATTAGTCTGGAGCCTTTGTCGTAGTTTGTTAGTCTGTATAAAGTTGCTCTCAGCTTCCATAGAGTTTATTTGCATAGCTTTGTTGTTTTTCACCCATCTATGGTAGCAGACAATTATATGCGCCACATTATAGCATTTCAGTAGAATATGAGAGCCTCAACTTTGCTGCTATTCAGCCACACCAGTGCTAAAGTGAGGAAAGAATGGAAATCCATAAGTTTTGCCGGACAAATTGTTGCTAGGCACTTTCAAGTAGGTATTGGAGCGTGTGGGAAATAATTGCTTTTGCCATAGTTGTTGCTTGCAGTTTCTAAGAAATGAATGGAATTTTTTCTTATTTACAAGAGAGAGAGAGAGTGAAAGAGTGGGAGCCAATGAACACTTGAAAGAAATGGGTTTTGGAGCAGTAAGACAGTGGAAATGCCTTGAAGCAGCATACCAGGCCTTACCTATGTCTCTAGTGTTTGTGGGTGATCGATACCACCACTTGAGTTTGTTTACCTATCAGCGAAAAATTAGCTTGCATCGCAACAGACAAGGTGGATTTTTGGTTTTGGATATTTTTTGTGGCTTAGAGGATTACTAGAGACTTTGTAAGCAAATTTTCGTCATGGAAGTGATTGCAATGGAAAGTATGAGAAGGTTTGCAAATAGGAAATAATGATGGAGTAGAATATGACATCGAGTC